TGTAAAGCCAAATGTAAAACCTTGATTTACTTACCTCGTTATGGGTCATTTGCAAAATTATGTTCTTTAAAAAAATTTAATTGTACAAACAAATACTCTAAAATTAACATTCAAAAAATGTTTGAATTTCTGGTTTACAGAATCGATCGTGTTTTTGGAAACCAAGTCTCGCGGCAATCTATTAGAATCCCCAAAGGTACCAATTGCACCACGGTTTTAACTGAACTATGTTTCTATTCATACAAAGCAGAATTTGTTCAAATTGATGACATATTATCTATTAAAAATAGTAATTTTATTTCCATTATTATGTCTATACGATAGATCACGATGATTTTGAAATGAAAGATACAAAAGAGTCTGACACATCCTTTTTATATTTGGATGTCTTACTAGAAAGATTTGAATAATTAATAACAATAAAGCGTTATGATAAACGTGATGACATTCACTATTCGATTGTCAACTTCCCTTGCTTATGCTGCAATATACCTTAGTCACCTGCATACGAAGTTTATATATATCAGTTGATTTGATAGAGAAGAGCACGCTCAACGTATGAACAATCTCTTTATCGAGATAGATAACTATTTAAGTGAAAATTTTAGAGAGAGGCAAATTTAGCGATATGTCCTTAAAAATAGGTTTTTAAATTTAAATGAGGTGTACTTTTAGCGATTTTAAAATGCTCACCAAAAGAAGCTATTATAAATAAAATGCTTTATTTGTTTCACGATGTTTAATTTTAGCGATCTTACTTGTCACCACTGTTGTAATAATAGAATAATAATACATGTAAATAGGAGACTAATCGTTCTCAAAAAATTAGAGGCCTTTCCATCTTCTTTGAATTGCAATTTTGTTTGCGATTTATCTCTTTAAAATTGACTTTCATGGTAAAGAGACTAGATATGGATTAAAACATGAAATATTGAAAATAAAAAAATAGAAGTGACCTTGACAATTTATCATGAAAAAATATACAAGGTCATGGATTACATTGCAATATGCCCCAACAATTTACATTTTTCAAGTTATAAGGTTTAATAGTAAGTGCAACGAATATAAAGGGCAATAGAAGATATTAGGGTCATCGCTTCCTCTCGCAATGAATAGACTGAAGTTGTTTCGCATTAGAAAAGGTTCCGTGTCTTGATGGTTTACAATTTCCAAGAAGTAGCGATAACAAGTTTTTTTGCACAAGGGGCAATACATTTTTAAAGGGTCGATCTTAGTGGACAAAAATTAAAGGTTTTAATAGTTTTAAGAGTGCATATTGAATAGATAGTACAAGTAAAAGGACATATGATCAATAGAAAGAAATTATTTTCCTCATATTTGGAGGGACCTTTACCTTTGACCATGAAATTTATATCTTATGGTTGGTTTCATGTCTCTATTACTCATGATTTAGATTTTTTAAATTATTAGTAAAATTTAAAAACTTAAAGACAAGTTAGGATGTCGACATAATCTGACCCCCTATTTGATGTAAAATACAAAACGCTGGTACGGTAGTGATATTTTATATTTAAAAACTTAAAATAGAATGATGCTTCCTTTAAAACCGGCAAAGCTTACATGGACGCCACATGAGGTTGCAGAAGTAGGACATTTTCCCCACATTTTCTCATTTCAGGTGAATTTAAATCATATTTGAATTGCGTCTGATACTTGTTTATTCAATATATGAATTTGGTAGATAGGCAAGCCCTATGTTTTCCACACCAAAATGTATTACATGTAGGAAATCGACAAAATTTGCATAAAAATGAGAAAATTTTAATTTTGACACATTTTCTAACCTATTTGAGACCTCCAATTATTCCAAAACTTAGAACTAATACCCTTTTTGTGGAAGAGTTGACAACATGTTTTTATTATTCTAAAAGACACCAAAATTGGGGCAATACAAGTCTTAACCTATGTTGTCCTTTCATGGGCAATTACTTACTGAAGATTCGATAAAAACTTTCACAATGAATAGACTGAAAAGTTCACTAAATTACTCGAAGACATTGGTAAAGGTTCTATATCGCTATGGTTTACGGTTTCATAGGAGAAGCGATAACAAGCTTTACTGCGAAAGGGGCAATACACCTTTGACCCCGCTAGCCCCCTTTTTAGAAAACAGTTTATTACTGTAAATATTATTTTAAAGGTATTCACAAATTTTGTACCATATTTATAACAAAATACTTACAGGTAAAAATATATGTATATTGTAGAAAAAAAACGTAGAAATTGGTAAGTTTTTCGGACCATAGAGAGCGACGACGTAAGTCAGTTCCAATATAAATGAAATGCATTTCGCCTATCTATAGAGGCAGGCCATAGTTTATAATTAAAGCTGTTTATGAGAAAATCTTTACACATCAGTACCTTTGAAAATCATTAAATAGACAATAAATACGGAGGTGGCGTCAATAAAATAAAAACCATAAATTTCATTTATATTGAACAAGTCCCTTATTTATGTTTTATGAAAATCAAACCAGCTGTTTTCAGTAGCATTACTGTAGATCACTAAATATTTGCGACACCTTATTTTCGCGAGATAGTCATTGACTCTTTTTAAGCGAGACATAATTTTCATGAATTGTTTATATTTCTCTATATAATCTTTAGGAATACTATTATACGCGAGAATGAAATTTTCGCGTGATCACTGTCTCGCATAATTACGCGAAAATAAGTGATTTACAGTATCTCACATTTGTAGGATTTCATAAAATATCAGTATTTATATTAAAAGTATAACTCAGAATATGAAATTTATCCTGGGTACTGATTGTCTCTTTCAAATTTCATGAATGTTTTTCTATATTTTTTATGTTTGTCAGCGTTCATAGATTTAGTGTACATCTGGTATTTAAAGCCAATTTGTTAAAAAAAAAAGAAAACATAAGAGTGAATTTAAAACGAAAATATGTTTAGCGTCTTATTCCTCAAACGTCAATATGAGATCCTGAGAATAATAAAATATAAGCATTAGAAATTTACAAAACCAATCTTTCAGCTAGACAGGGCTCTTATTGTAAAATGCTGTGTACAAAAATATACATTTATGCCAAATTACCTGTATAAAAAAAGATAAACAGTCAAATAGTTTAAATAATGCCATTGATGGAGCATCAGGAGCACAATAAGTATTCGACTAGTTCTAAATGCCCGTTTTAGGAATAATGAATTAAATGTCCAGTGCACTACCCGAATTAGACAATAATTCACAGGAGACAGGTTAAAGGTATTTTCAAATGGTTGTTTGGTTTTCATAGTGAAAAAATTCTTCATTTCTCGCAAGGTAGTCAGAAAAACTTATATGTTAATAGTTTTGAACACTGTATCTGCAATGTTATTGGTTTGTCTATTTCATATCTGAGTAGTCTTTCCACCTCAACCCTTAAGCTTTCCTTGTTTTTGTATTAGGGGGTATGTTCTATAAGCATACATTTTTTATCAAAATTTATAAGCATTTTATTGTTTAAGCAAAATCAATAAAGTTGTATTCGAGAACGAGTCGGATTATTGTTACGTCATATACGTTGATTGTTCATCCGCACCATTGGACTTTGGCGTTTCAGACCATTGCATTTTAGCGCAACGTGTCTCATAGGAAACGAGCCATCGGACTTCGGCGTGACCATCGGACTTTGGCGTCACCATCGCACTCTGGAAAAAATAATTGGCTTTATCTTGATTACTTTGGTATATTTGCTTCAATAGGAATGGCATCAGAGAAAAGTGCAATTTGTTCTCAAGTTGTCCCTTTATTTGAAATACAGATGAAACTGTTTAATAATCAAATATACCATTCTTATATTTATCTCAGGAATGCCATGACTCATAAAATAATTTTTAAAAAATCAAAACTATTATTCCTAGGTGATAATCTTGATTCACAGCACACAGTCACGCATCTTTTGTTTAATAAGTGCCATTTGACAAGAGAAAAATCCTCTAAGCCAAGATAGAGACTTTGTATTTAGGAAAAACCTTACATTTGGTTTGCTATGTGATTTTCAATTACTTTGAATTATGTTGGCAGTATAGAAATGGGACGGTAAGGACTGGATCTGCTTCGTAATCCTCTACCGGGAAGACTAGTGCCTTTTCGATTTCAAAGGGAAAATACCGTCACTGACACTAGAATTAAAGAAGAATGAGTAACTGATTAATCAATGAAACTAAAAGTTTTAGGAGACACGGTCGAATAATGTTAATACCTGCCGATTTATTTACATCTATCCCCTTCAACAGACTGAGTCAAGTATGCAGTTTTGTTGCTTATGTAAAAGTTTGATTGGAATTCATGTGACCTGCTCATTAAAAATATCGGAAATTTCTTGCAAATTGTTTCTTTCTGAGTTATTATAAAGGATTTGTGTAGAAGTTTAATAATTAGAATTTGAGGCAAATTAATGAAGATTTCTCCACAATTTTCTGTGGTTGAACTGACCTCAATGACTGACCTATACTGCATAGACCTTTTGTATTCTCAATTTAAAGTAGAGTAAAAGTTATCGCTCCATGCACCATATGTTACTCTCGTAGAATTAAAATATCTCTTAAATGTCTTCATTAATTTTTAATTATAACTCATACATAGTATCAAAAATGTCAAAATGTCAACCCTTAAGGGTCCTCCACACACCTACAGCTTATGTTCTCATTTTATTGAGCATTACTTTTACCAAGCATATCAACCTTTAAAATCTAGCCAGGGATTAAAATGTAATTTATACTGATTTTTTAAAATAATTATTTCACAAGTTTCAAGATTTTTTTTTCCCAAGGCGTTTTCATATCTAGCACAACAAATTTTGTCTTATCCTTTCGTATATTTTTAAGCTCACAGAATAACCATAAAAACTTAATTTTATCAATCAGCATATTTTTTACAGAAATTAATTTTATTTATAAAAAGTACAAAAAACTCATTTTTTCTATAAAACATCTCGAGGAAAATCAACTAGGACTCCTTTTGTATAGAAGAAACATTTATGAATTAGATTACATCAAAAAAATTGAATTAAAATTAAATGCACTGATGTAGAAAAAATATTTTCAAAATCTTTGGTATCAAAGTTCCTTTTTGGAGTTATCTTTCCTGTTGCCCGGGACTCAAAAACTTTGGCAAGCCTCCGCATACGTCACCATACTATATTTAGTAATTACTGGCCACTGAACTGGACAGATATAAAAGAGGAAAACTAGAAACGCACACTATTTTATAAATCAATATTTATAAACGCACAATGAGATAATGTAAAATTATTGAAACGCACGAATTAGTGTGCCAAAATTTCAACTATCAAAACAGACTCAGTTGATTAGCCTGAAACTGAAAATAGAAATAACCTAAACGTTTCTCGTCATACCGGTACCTGTTGTTTACGAATTATTTTGTAACATATTCCCAGATGTCTGTTGTTCTTTTATTTAAAAAAAAATCCGCACATATTTTTCCATCGGTCACTCCGTGATCATGCCATGTGTTCATTGTTTATGATTAGGTATCGCGCTCGGTGTACTGCAAACTTTTCGTTTGTAAGACTTTTTTTTACAAACGGTGGTATGCCAAATCGTTCATGCAGAAACTTGATAAAACCGGAAGTAAAAGTATTTTTTCTCTATATCACAAGTCACATGGTGTGGAGGACCCTTTAGAAGCATTTTATTGTTTAAGCTTCCCATATTAGCATTTACTAAATAAAAATTTAGAGCAGATTCAATACATGACATATTATTATGTAATATGTCATAAAGACATGCAAAGTTGAATTATCATCAATCAAATCAATATTTTACAAAAGACCTGTAATAAAGGTCACTGATATGTAGGACTCCAAAGTGCGATGGGACTCCGAAGTCCGATGGTCACGCCAAAGTCCGATGGTTCGACACGCCAAAATCCGATGGTGCGGAAAACATGACGTCATAGCACCGATGTGCCAAACCTGAATACCGCGCCATGCCAAGGTTTTAAAAATAAGTATAAATAAATAAATGCAAAAACTAGCCCATATCTCTAATGCAGATAGGTGCGAGATTAAACCTAAACGCGCAAATAGTGTGTATTAACACTAACCAAGACATCTTGGGTGGGTGCAAAACTAACCCTTATCACTCAACTATTGTGCGAGGACTAACCCTAAATCTCTCCAGTTGTGCAATACAAAGACTAAACTTAATCAATCGAGTGTTTTGCTTAGACTAACCCTAATATCCATGGAAAATTCAAGCAATAAACAAATCAATAAAGTTGTATTCGAGAACGAGTCGGATTATAGTTACGTCATATACGTTGATTGTTCATCCGCACCATCGGACTTTGGCGTGTCAGACCATTGCATTTTAGCACAACGTGTCTCATAGGAAACGAGCCATTGGACTTCAGCGGGACCATCGGACTTTGGCGTCCGTAAAGACAGCGAGCCATCGGGGTTTGGGTTAATTAAGATATCTCCACAATTTTCTGTGGTTAAACTGACCGCAATGATAAAAGTAGAGTAAAAGTAATCGCTCCATGCACCATATGTTGCTCTCGTAGAATTAAAATAACTCCTAAATGTCTTCATTAATTTTTCTTATAACTCATACATAGTATCAAAAATGTCGACAGAGGCGTGTTAAAATGCAAGGCTATCAATTTTTTAAATTAATTATATGGAGTAGATAGCAGGATCACGTCAGTAGCAAGAAGTTAAGGGATTAACAAGGTGGATGTGACCGGTCAGCAGGGGATGCTCACCCCTCCATGGCACATGATCCCACTTCTGATGTTTTAGAGGCCTGTTTTGCTCTGCTCATATTTTGTTTTGTTAAATAGACTTTCATATTGAATATTGTTCGTTATCTCCTGATTCTCGATTTATCTGAAGTCATTATTTCGTAAGTTCTTTGGTCGGTACAATGACCTTGTCAGCAAATACAATTTATCTTTGAGTCAGATGCTGACTGACTTTTTTCATACTTATTCTTAGTCATCGTCGGATCCACGGGTTTTCTCTCCGTGACACTGCATTTAACAGTTAATAGTTAGATACAATGTAATGGAGAGTCCTAGAATACTGTTCGTTATCTCCAAATGTTTCATTGTTTAACATCTAGTAACCAAGCTATATGATAAACGTGATGACTTTAACTTTTCTATCGTCAACTTCCCTTACTTATGCAGCAATTAATATACCTACATCACTTGCATACGGAGTATATATCTCAGTTGTTTTCGATACACATGAGCATGCTCTACGTATGAACATTGTCTAAAGCGAGGTAAATTATTGACAAGCACGTTGACGAAATAAGAATATCAGCAGTCTCGTTGAAAGTCATCATTTCGTAAGTTCCATGGTCGATACAATGACCTTATCAGCAAAGACAGTTTCTCATTGAGTCAAATGCTGACTGATCTTTTTCATACCAATTGTTAGTCCATTATTTATACACTGAATTGACGACGGATTTTTTCCGTTATTTCCTGATCATGACAAGGAGCACACGGCGGGTGTGACCGGTCGGCAGGGGATGCTCACTCCTACATGGCGCCTAATCCCACCTCTGATGTTTCAAGGGTCAGTGTTTACCCTGCTCTTATTTTGTATTGTTTTATGGACTTTGAGATTGTATATTGTTCGTTATATCCATATCCTTTTCTTAAGAAACGTGAGACAAAAAGTAATAACATTTGCTACATAAATTATGCATTCTTTATACTTTAACTTATGAACAGACTGTATCCTGTATGAATTGATTGTTTCACATCTTAGAATAGATATTTACAGTTTGTTTCTTATACAAACATTGTGAAAGTCAAATGCTGTTTCCATTCATTCATTGAGAAAACTTTTATGGTGGTAAGCATGTTTTGGTGAACAGTTTTGAAAAGAAAATATAACAGCTATTAATACAAAATACAAAAATTTGATCCAAGCCTTTACATTTTCCATTTGAGAATTTGTGTTTGGCTTTATTTTGTCTCTTTGATCTTAAAATGATCAATAAGTTTTGATGTTTTTTCACATATTTTTTAAATCAATCACTGTCTGTTATATTTAAAAAAAAAATTCAATTGGACAGATTAACTTCCTTCTTGACAATATGCATAAAAAATCCGATAAGGCATTAAGAAAGTACAACGGGGGATTTATTACTTGTTTGAAGAAACAACAAGAAACATACATATATTGACGCAAGCGTCAAATATCGGCAACAAACTAACTGGTCCTTTCAATGAAGCAATTAGAAACTGGAATGCTTGATCTGTAAATAAATTATCTTACATTTATCCTGTGACATTGAACATTTGCATGCGACATTGCAGGATTTTCTTCAATACATAATACATGTACATTACTACAATATACATGTATAACTCCTACTCCTCTGCGTCTCGGTGCAGTTTGATACAAAGCAAATCTGATGTTTGAAGATCGGAAGTTTGATGTTTTTAAAATAGTTTTTACATTTAAAGATTGAAACTAAAGTTTAAACTTAATCACAGAGACATATAGTTTTACTTTCATAAAAACGCAACAAATATGTGGGGCTCTTCGCTCGCTCTCAGAGGATCTTAACCCCCCTCCCAACTCCCTCTAGATCCATCACTATATTTCTCCTCTTTGGTGAGAGCTGTGGCGGGAAAAGGCTTGGCATATTGTGAAACGCGCTTTATCCTTGTCTGTTGGATCAAAATCTCGTAATATTCTGTCTGATAATATATTGTCATTTAATCAATTGGAAATTTTCTTTCGGAAATGTATGATATATAAACGGCATTTTTAAAATATATTCTACAAATCCTGTTTTTATAGAGCAAGTAAAATTCAAGTAAAATTAGCAAACCAAATGTAAGGTTTTTCCTAAATACAAAGTCTCTATCTTGGCTTAGAGGATTTTTCTCTTGTCAAATGGCACTTATTAAACAAACAGATGCGTGACTGTGTGCTGTGAATCAAGATTATCACCTAGGAATAATAGTTTTGATTTTTTAAAAATTATTTTATGAGTCATGGCATTCCTGAGATAAATATAAGAATGGTATATTTGATTATTAAACAGTTTCATCTGTATTTCAAATAAAGGGACAACTTGAGAACAAATTGCACTTTTCTCTGATGCCATTCCTATTGAAGCAAATATACCAAAGTAATCAAGATAAAGCCAATTATTTTTTCCAGAGTGCGATGGTGACGCCAAAGTCCGATGGTCACGCCGAAGTCCGATGGCTCGTTTCCTATGAGACACGTTGCGCTAAAATGCAATGGTCTGAAACGCCAAAGTCCAATGGTGCGGATGAACAATCAACGTATATGACGTAACAATAATCCGACTCGTTCTCGAATACAACTTTATTGATTTTGCTTAAACAATAAAATGCTTATAAATTTTGATAAAAAATGTATGCTTATAGAACATACCCCCTAATACAAAAACAAGGAAAGCTTAAGGGTTGAGGTGGAAAGACTACTCAGATATGAAATAGACAAACCAATAACATTGCAGATACAGTGTTCAAAACTATTAACATATAAGTTTTTCTGACTACCTTGCGAGAAATGAAGAATTTTTTCACTATGAAAACCAAACAACCATTTGAAAATACCTTTAACCTGTCTCCTGTGAATTATTGTCTAATTCGGGTAGTGCACTGGACATTTAATTCATTATTCCTAAAACGGGCATTTAGAACTAGTCGAATACTTATTGTGCTCCTGATGCTCCATCAATGGCATTATTTAAACTATTTGACTGTTTATCTTTTTTTATACAGGTAATTTGGCATAAATGTATATTTTTGTACACAGCATTTTACAATAAGAGCCCTGTCTAGCTGAAAGATTGGTTTTGTAAATTTCTAATGCTTATATTTTATTATTCTCAGGATCTCATATTGACGTTTGAGGAATAAGACGCTAAACATATTTTCGTTTTAAATTCACTCTTATGTTTTTTTTTTTTTTTTAACAAATTGGCTTTAAATACCAGATGTACACTAAATCTATGAACGCTGACAAACATAAAAAATATAGAAAAACATTCATGAAATTTGAAAGAGACAATCAGTACCCAGGATAAATTTCATATTCTGAGTTATACTTTTAATATAAATACTGATATTTTATGAAATCCTACAAATGTGAGATACTGTAAATCACTTATTTTCGCGTAATTATGCGAGACAGTGATCACGCGAAAATTTCATTCTCGCGTATAATAGTATTCCTAAAGATTATATAGAGAAATATAAACAATTCATGAAAATTATGTCTCGCTTAAAAAGAGTCAATGACTATCTCGCGAAAATAAGGTGTCGCAAATATTTAGTGATCTACAGTAATGCTACTGAAAACAGCTGGTTTGATTTTCATAAAACATAAATAAGGGACTTGTTCAATATAAATGAAATTTATGGTTTTTATTTTATTGACGCCACCTCCGTATTTATTGTCTATTTAATGATTTTCAAAGGTACTAATGTGTAAAGATTTTCTCATA